AATGGGAATGGGAATGTGGGGATGGGAATGGAAATGGGAATGGGAATGACGACAATGGCAGTGGCAATGGGAATGACAATGGGAATGGGAATGGGAATGACGATGGGAATGACAATGGCAATGAGGATGACAATGGGAATGGGAATGACGATGACAATGAGAATGGGAATGGGAATGAGGATGAGGATGACAATGGGAATGGGAATGACAATGACAATGACAATGGCAGTGGCAATGGGAATGGGAATGAGGATGACAATGACAATGGGAATGGGAATGGGAATGACGATGGCAATGAGGATGACAATGGCAGTGGCAATGGGAATGGCAATGACGATGGCAATGACAATGACAATGGCAGTGGCAATGGGAATGGGAATGACGATGGCAATGAGGATGACAGTGGCAGTGGGAATGGGAATGGCAATGACGATGGCAATGAGGATGACAATGGCAGTGGCAATGGCAATGGCAATGGCAATGACAATGGCAGTGGGCTCCGGTGGCTCCGTATCCAGAGCAGCAGCAGCTCCAGGAATTGGGGACGCTGGAACATTCCCAGCGGGATGCTGGGCCAGGGATCCCTGTGGGTTCCCAGGTGTGTGGGGTGCCCCGCTCCCGGGAGCTCCCGCGGGAGGGATTCCCGTGCCGGCGTTTTCCCGGGATTTGATGTGGGGTGCCGCAGGGCAGGGCTGGAATGTCATCGGCTTCCCAAAATCCGGGTGGAGCTCCCATCGGATCCTGGATCCGTGAGGATCACGGATCCCGTGCTGCCCTGAGATCCCGGGATCTGACAAAGGGAATCGATGGCTCTCGGGAATCGGAGTCGGTTCCGAGAGCTCCGCCCTTTGTTTTCCCGGCTTTAAACCCCAGCCGGAGGCACAGAGAGCGGCTTTTATCCCAGAATAAAGGACTGGGGTTAATCCTTGCAACTGCAATTAATTTATTATTAATTGACAGTCATTAATTAATTAATTTTATATTTAATTTATAACGATACCGAAAGGATCAGGCGTCAGGAATTGCGAGCTCTGCGTGCCCAGTTAAACACTGCAATAATATTAAATTTAAATATTTAAATGTTAATATTAAATATTTAATATATTAATTATAAATAGCATAAATATTGATTATAACTATTATAAATATTAATTATAACTCTTATAAATATTATAAATATAAATATTTTTATATAACAATAATATTAAATGGTTCATGTTGGGCGTGAGGTTCCTGATTATCAACACCCAAAATCCTGCACTTACAGGTGCTGCAAGGTGGGAAATAAATCTGTTTTCTATCCAATTAAACACTAAAGTCAGGACTGGGGAGGGAGAGCGCAGGGAAGGGATTTTAGGATAGCTGTGGTTGATTTTGGGATGATGGGAAATGTTTTCCCAGGTAAATCCTTGCTGAGTAGCAGAGCCTGGCCCAAAATCCCCCAATGAATTCCTCAGCAGGGGTTATTTAATTCCCTCCTTTCCCTTCAGGAACACATTTGGGTCTGTAAGGAAAGACTCTGGAATATTCCATTTTTATCGACCCAGTCTTGGCGTTCATCATAAATATTTAGCGCTGCATTTCAGAAATACGTGTCATTTCTGTGCCTAAAACCTGGAAGATTAAAGAGAAACACAAGTTAGTTTGGGTTTATTTCAAAGCAAAAACTACTTTTAAACCTGGCCTGCAATCGATAATGTTTGGTCCTGGGTCCTTCCAGAATTAAAATCCCAGGAATCCGAGCATTAATTGGATTTTCCTTGGCAAAGCTGGATTTACGTGGGATTGAATATTCCATTTGGAATAATCCTGGCTTGGTTTGATGAGTGACCCAGTGAAAGGTGCTAAAGGTGCTGGTCTGCAATCCACACCTGCATTCCAGGCACAAAAACCTGGAAATCACCGGAAAACACATCCCTGGATCCCTGAAAAAGCTCCAGAGACAATTCCCGACTATCCCTAAACGTGGCCAATAACAGGGACGGTGTTCCTGGGTTAATAAATGAACTTTCATCCATGGGTTATTAAATGGAATGAGGAAATGCAGGGAATCCCATCCATGGATTAATAAATGAATTCCCATCCATGGATTATTTAAATGGAATGAGGAAATGCAGGGATTCCCATCCATGGATTATTTAAATGGAATTCCCATCCATGGATTATTAAATGAGGCACTGCAGGAATTCCCATCCATGGATTATTTAAATGGAATGAGGAAATGCAGGGATTCCCATCCACGGATTATTTAAATGGAATTCCCATCCATGGATTAATAAATGAATTCCCATCCATGGATTATTTAAATGAGGAACTGCAGGAATTCCCATCCCTGGATTATTTAAATGGAATTCCCATCCCTGGATTATTTAAATGGAATTCCCATCCATGGATTATTTAAATGGAATTCCCATCCATGGATTATTTAAATGAGAAACTGCAGGGATTCCCATCCATGGATTATTTAAATGGAATTCCCATCCATGGATTATTAAATGAGGAACTGCAGGAATTCCCATCCATGGATTATTTAAATGGAATTCCCATCCATGGATTATTAAATGAGGCACTGCAGGAATTCCCATCCATGGATTATTTAAATGGAATTCCCATCCATGGATTATTTAAATGGAATTCCCATCCATGGATTATTTAAATGGAATTCCCATCCATGGATTATTTAAATGGAATTCCCATCCCTGGATTATTAAATGAGGCACTGCAGGAATTCCCATCCCTGGATTATTTAAATGGAATTCCCATCCCTGGATTATTAAATGAGGCACTGCAGGGATTTCCGTGCCAGGTGGGAACATCCCTGGCTGCTCTGGCTCCTGCTCTGGGGCTCTGGTGCAGCGAGGAAACGCAGGGAAATCCTGCCTGGGAAGGATTAGCATCCACTGGAGCCGCATTCCTGGGAATCCCGATTCCCTGGAGGATCTGTACTCTCCAGAGCCGAGGGAAGGAGCACCGGGTGTCACCCGGAGCGTTTTCCTGACCATTTTCCGTGCCGGGGGAGCCTCCAGGGAGAGGGATTTGCCCTTGGATCCCTTTCCAGGAGGAGCAAATGGATTTCTGGCTGGGTTCCTGCCGCGGCAGGGTTTCACCCAGCGGGGATTGGCATTCCCATTTCTGATCCTTTCTGGCTCCCCGGGGGCCGTTTCCGTGGGGTTCCCCTGATCCGGAACATTCCGGTTCTATCCATGGGGGGTTCCCCTGATCCGGAACATTCCGGTTCTATCCATGGGGGGTTCCCTGATCCGGAACATTCCGGTTCTATCCATGGGGTTCCCCTGATCCGGAACATTCCGGTTCTATCCGTGGGGCTCCCCTGATCCGGAACATTCCGGTTCTATCCATGGGGGGCTCCCTGATCCGGAACATTCCGGTTCTATCCCATTCCCAGACTATCCACGGCCACAAAGGAGCCGTCACCGCCGTGGCCTTCGCCCCCGACGGCCGCTACCTCGCCACGTACTCCAACTCGGACAGCCACCTGTGCTTCTGGCAGGTAGGGACAGAATTCCCGCGGGAATCCCGGGAACACCTGGAGCGGGGCAGGGGGATCCCTCCGGATCGTTAAGGCACGCGTTAATCACCGAGGGTGATTAGCGGGGAGGATTGAAATGGGCGCGATCCCAAATCCGGGAGGTGATGGTTCACACCCCGGGCAGCGCGGGGAGCGGGAGTCGGGATTTGGGGTACGGAAAACTCCCGGGGATTGTCCTGGGAACAGAAATCCGACTGTCCTGGGAACAGAAATCCGACTGTCCTGGGAACAGAAATCCGACTGTCCTGGGAACAGAATTCCCGGTTTGCCGTCCCTGGGGATTGTCCTGGGAACAGAAATCCGATTGTCCTGGGAACAGAATTCCCGGTTTGCCGTCCCTGGGGAATGTCCTGGGAACAGAATTCCCGGTTTGCCGTCCCTGGGGATGCACAGGGAGCTCCTGGATCGGGAAGTGTCGGGTTCACAGCTCGGAGCCCACGGGGGAACAGCAGATTCCAGGGCCAGGCAGCCAGGACGGGGAGATCCGAGTGAGGCTGGCTGGATCCTGGATCCCTGGGCACGGGGTTTGGGGTTTGGGGTTTGGGGTTTGGGGTTTGGGAACAGCTCCTGAGGTCCCTTCCCACCCAAACCCTGCCCGGATCCCTGGGCACGGCTGTGGGGTTTGGGATTTGGGATTTGAGGGCAGCTCCTGAGGTCCCTTCCCACCCAAACCCTGCCTGGATCCCCAGGCATGGCCATGGGGATTTGAGATTTGGGATTCGGGAATCAGGAATCAGGATCTGGGATTCAGGATTTGGGATCTGGGATTCAGGATTTGGGATTTGGGATCTGGCATTCAGGATTTGGGATCTGGGATTCAGGATTCAGGATCTGGGATTCAGGATTTGGGATTTGGGATCTGGGATTCAGGATCTGGGATCTGGGATTCAGGATTTGGGATCTGGGATTCAGGATTTGGGATCTGGGATTCAGGATTTGGGATCTGGGATTCAGGATTTGGGATTTGGGATCTGGGATTCAGGATTTGGGATCTGGGATTCAGGATTTAGGATCTGGGATTCAGGATTTGGGATTCAGGATTTGGGATCTGGGATTCAGGATTCAGGATTTGGGATTCAGGATCTGGGATCTGGCATTCAGGATCTGGGACTCAGGATTTGGGATTGGGGATGAGCTGCTGTCTCTCCCCCCAGATGAACACGTCTCTGCTGGGCAGCATCGGGATGCTGAACTCGGCCCCGCAGCTGCGCTGTGTCAAGACGTTCCAGGTGCCCCCGGTGCAGCCGGCGTCGCCCGGCTCGCTCGGCGCGCTCCGCCTGGCCCGGCTCATCTGGACCTCCAACCGCAACGTCATCCTCATGGCCCACGACGGCAAGGAGCATCGCTTCATGGTCTAGGGCATGGTCTGGGGCCTGGTCTGGGGCTGCAGCTCTCCCCCTTCCCCTGCAGCCTCTGGGGATGGACCCAGAGCAGGGACCTGCCCCGGCTCCTGGGGCTGCAGCTCTCCCTTCCCACGGCCTCTGGGGATGGAGCCCAGAGCAGGTTCCTGCCCCGGTTCCTGGGGCTGCAGCTCTCCCTTCCCACGGCCTCTGGGGATGGACCCAGCCCAGAGCAGGGACCTGCCCCGGTTCCTGGGGCTGCAGCTCTCCTCCCTCCGGGGATGGACCCAGAGCAGGTTCCTGCCCCGGCTCCCCGGGCTGCAGCTCTCCTCCCTCTGGGGATGGATGGACCCAGCCCAGAGCAGGGACCTGCCCCGGCTCCCCGGGCTGCAGCTCTCCCTTCCCCTGCAGCCTCCGGGGATGGACCCAGAGCAGGTTCCTGCCCCGGCTCCCGGGGCTGCAGCTCTCCCTTCCCACAGCCTCCGGGGATGGATGGACCCAGCCCCGAGCAGGTTCCTGCCCCGGCTCCCGGGGCTGAAATTCCGGCTCCCAGGAGCTCGGGAACGCTGCCCAGGCCGGAAGGATAAACCATAATCCCCGTGTAAATAAGTCATTTAAAAATCCTGTTGGATGGCAGGCTTGGGAAAAAAAAGCAGTATTTATATAGAAAGGTGGTTTTTGCCACCGGTGCAGGTATTTATTTAAATAAAGGACAAAGGGGACCGTGGTGGAGAAAGTGAATTCTTCGCTGGATGTCCTGAAATGTTTCCTTCAGTAGGAATATCCTGTGTGACACTCGCTGTGACCGTGTTTCCTTCTCACATATCTGAGTTTGTGTTTTGTGTGAAATTTGCTGGTTCCTGCTCACGGGAAAGAGGAAAAAAAACCTCTCCAATCCTCTTTTATTTCAGTTTCTCTGTTTGTGCAGCTTTTCCCTGGCTGCAGAGCTCCGACCTGAGGCTGGCACTCCCTGCTAAGCTAAAAATGGTACCTGGGAGTTGAAAAATGAAGGAATTAATTTTCCCCGTGGCTCTAAAAGAGAAAATGAATTGATTTTGTTGGGATCGGGGTTGTTTGTGCAGGGCCAGGCGGGGTGAGCAGCCCAGGCTCGGTGTCTGTGCCCGGCTCCAGTGGAAGCTCGGCCATGTGGAACCCGAAGCTGTTCCCGATCCCGCTGCTCCTGCCGGAGCTCCCCGTGCGTTCCCTCGTCCCCGGGAGTGTGGAGGTGTCGTGGGGGGACCCTGCCTGCCAGGGGGTGCTGAGGGCTGGGATGATTCCGGTGGCTGCTCCTCCACAAATCCCTGCCCTGCTGTAAATAACGCTCGTGGAATAAAACCCGACTGAAACCTCTCCGCTCTCCTGGCCGTGCCTCATCTCCTGATCCTCTCGCAGTCCTCGGGAATCCGTCCCTTTAACAAATCCCTCCTTTCCTTGGAATGAGAGCGGAGCCCGGAGCGCTGGGGTCGGAAGGATGGAAAGGGTTTGTTCCTGGAGCCCCTTCGGGCCCTGCAGGGGCTCCGAGGTTTCCCTGGATCCTTCTGCAGGTGAACATTCCCAGCTCTCCATGCCAGAGGGGCATTCCCCGTGGAATAATGCAGCGGATAACGGGGTGAGCTGGCACACCCCTGCGCAGGAGGAGCCGTGGGCTGATCTGGGGCAGAGCAGGAATCGCCTGCTGGGTCCCCATTCCCCATGGAATAATGCAGCGGATAACGGGGTGATCCCGCACATCCCTGCGCAGGAGCCATGGGATGGTCCAGGTCAGGAATCGCCTGCTGGGTCCCCAGATCCCGCAGGAACTGGGATTTTCCCTCCCGGGTGTGGCTGCGCTCAGCAGGGAGGGCAGCGGGGTCAGCTCTGACCGCTGGGGCCGGGCGCAGGAGCCTCCATCCCGCTGGATTTACCCTGGAACGGTTCCTGCCTTCCCTCGGGATAACGGAGCCGCCCGTGGCTGGAGGCACCGAAAGAGGCTTTGCTTCTGTTCCCGGCTTTTGGAAAACTTCCCCAGCTTTAATTCTTGTGGCTGAACAAAAAGAAAAAAGCAGAAATGGGGAAGAATCTGGAGCGGAGCCTCCGGTGTGATAAATTGCCACCGGAGCCAGCGGCTGCCTGGAGCGCGCTTTGAAGCGGGAGAGGCTCCTGGGGAACTTCCCCCCCTCTCTCTGATGTCTGAAAATTAAAAATTAATCCGCTATGAAAAATTAAAAGGTGAAACTTTCTGCTCTTTCAGCAGCAGAGCTTTTGGAATGCTGATGTGGGGCTTGGAATGGAGGCTGAGTGACATCTCCGGGAACATCACCGGGGGCTGGTGCGCTCTAATATCAGATTTTAATGGCTTTGGGGGGATTGGAAAGCTGTTTGCAAACGACTCGAGACGCTTAAAGAGGGGTAAATATTTATTTCTTGATGTAAATAACCTTAAACAGGCATTTACTCACTCCTGCAGAGCTACTCACGGTTTCCAGCCTGGGAGTGATCCTGGAATCCGCACAGGTTTCATTCGGCTTCTTTATAAAACAATAATTTTATCTAAAACAAATCGGATTCGGGCAGAAAATGGGTTAAAATGCCCACGGAAAAATTCCTGGGAACTTTATTCCAGGAGCAAAGAGCGAGGGTGCTGCTGGTGGGAGGGGGCAGAGGCAGGAGGATGGGGATGGTCCCGGGGCGCCAGAGAGGATTCCTGGCGTTTGTCCAGCACGGTCTGTGGGAGACGGAATTTGGGGAGTGGGAACCAGCCCAGCCCTGAAATGGGGGAATTTGGGGAGTGGGAACCAGCCCAGCCCTGAAATGGGGGAATTTGGGGAGTGGGAACCAGCCCAGCCCTGAAATGGGGGGATTTGGGGAGTGGGAACCAGCCCAGCCCTTCCCTGAGGGAATTTGGGGAGTGGGAACCAGCCCAGCCCTTCCCTGAGGGAATTTGGGGAGTGGGCAGCAGCGGGTGGGTTTGATGGGAAGCACATCCCTGTTTTCCTGAGGGGAAGAGCAGAGCGTTCCAGGTTGCCGAGCTGCAGGAACGGGAGCGAACCGAGGCAGAGCCCGAATCCCGTCCCAAGCCGCGCTCAGGGGCTCGGCCGAGCCGAAAGCGGCCGCGTCCCAGCCGGGACCCGCAGGGAGGAGCGGAGATGGGCTCCCATCAAGTGCATCGGCTCGGAAAATGGGGAAGGTTTGGGGTCAGGCGCGCACGGTCCCCGGGGAAGCTTTGCCAGGGGAAATGGGAAGAGCTGCCGTGATTGCTCCTTCCAGCCTCAATTTGCTGCAGTTTCCCGTTTTCCAGAGCATTCCACCTGCGCCCGGAGCGGCTGCGGGAGCTGCGGGGTCCTGCGGGGCTTTGGGATGGAGGGGACCCGAAAGCTGCGGCACTTCCAGGCAGCTCCCGAACGGAATTGTGTCCCCGGAGGATTGCGAAGGAGGAAAACGCAAGGTCGGGCTGTCAGGACAGCTCCTGCGTCCCTCTGCCGCTGCCGGGAATTGTTCGGTGGCAGGGAGCGGGAGCTCCGCGGCTCTCCCGGTATCCCAGAGCCGGGATCTGGGCGGTCTCCAGCTCCCTCCCAAGCCGAACCTCGCAGGGATTCATCCCCCAGGGCTCCGGGGAAGGGCTGCGTGTCCCCGGTGCCCTCCTGTCCCCAGGGGTGTGGGAGGGCCTGGATCCCAGCAGAGCTCCCAGGCCCGAGGGGTTAAAAGAGATTAAATATCTCCCAGAATGGATAATTAATAATTAGCTCCCTGCGCATCAGAGCTGGAGACCATCACCCTCTGACCATCACCACCGGCTTCCTCCTGCTGCTCTCCTCGGGTGTCTCTGCAGGGAAAACTCACCTGGAGGGTAACAAACATTCCCTCTGCCGGGAAAACCAGGAATTCCGACAAATTCCACCCAAACTGCTCGGAGCAGCCACAACCATTGGATACCGGGATACAGGAACAGAGGGATACAGGGGTACAGGGATACAGGGATACAGGGATACAGGAACAGAGGGATACAGGGATACAGGGATACAGGGATACAGGGATACAGGGGTACAGGGATACAGGGATACAGGGGTACAGGGGTACAGGGGTACAGGGGTACAGGGATACAGGGATACAGGTTACAGGGATACAGGGATACAGGGGTACAGGGGTACAGGGGTACAGAGATATCGGGCACGGCTGGTTTGGGATGCCGGGCAAGGCTGGGAAGGGCAGCGGGGCTGGGCATGGAGGTGGAGCCGGGCAAGGAGCCGGATCCGGGCAGGATCAGGGAGGTGATCCAGGATCAGGGAGGTGGATCCAGGATCAGGGAGGTGATCCAGGATCAGGGAGGTGATCCAGGATCAGGGAGGTGATCCAGGATCAGGGAGGTGGATCCGGGATCAGGGAGGTGGATCCGGGATCAGGGAGGTGGATCCGGGATCAGGGAGGTGGATCCGGGATCAGGGAGGTGGATCCAGGATCAGGGAGGTGGATCCAGGCAAGGAGCCGGTGCCGGAGCTGGGGCCCCAGGGAACCCCCCCAGTTTCTGCTCGGAGCATCTTGTCCAACTCCGTTAAGGATTTAAACACCCGTTGAAACTAATCTGCTGGATAAAACCTTTTCTTCCCAGTCTTCATTAATCACCCGTCCTTCCCCTAGTTCCTAGCAGGAAAATAGATTTTTAAACCTGTCAGGTGCGGTTTTGTGGGATTCGTTTCGTGCCTGCTCCGTCTGTTCTGCACTGCCGGGGAGGAGGGAGACAATTAACCCGGGGCTCGAAACCTCCGAGCGCGGAGCTGGGGTTTGTGTGACCGCTGGGTGGGACATTAAATCCAGACTTTGGGAATTCAGCTTTCCCGGCCAGCCAGGAGATTGGCAGGGCTGGAAATCCACCCCAAACCCTTCCCGGGACAGCGGGGGCCGCGCGTGGGGATGAGTTTGGGAAGGGGAGGCACCCGCACACCTCGGGCCGGAGCTGATCGCGGCTCGGGAGCTCACAGCGGCCAGGGCTCCATCCCCAGCCGGGACAGAACATCCCCAGGGCTGCGGAGATCGCACCGATGTGGCCCCGAGTGAGACCCCAAATCCCGCCCGGGCACCGGGCACGGATCCAGCCGGAGCCGGGGGAAAAACTTCCAGGAGAGGCCGAGGAGGAGCCCCGGGGCTGCGGGAGTGGGACCCGAGGAGGAGC